AGGATCTTGGGCACACATGCGCACGTGGCCAGCATGAGTTTAAGTCACTGGGTCTGAGACTCAAACCACAGTCGACTACATGGGAGTCCAGTGAGATAGCCATTATGCCAACTGCTGGTCCCCATTTGCAATTTAATTATCAGTTATTTTCTATTTTAAACTCCTTATGTTAAATGCATGTATGCCATAATTCATGAAATAGATCTGCAAAAGCTCCTGTATCTGAAAAGTCTATAAAATTGTTTTAGAAAAATGAGGTATTTTTCTCACTGTCCTTAGAATGAAATTCTCAAAGAAAAAAAATGGGCAGTACTGTTCTTTAATGTCATAATGTCTGATATAATAATTAACAGCTGATTCAGAATATTATTGTCTGTCAAGCATCAATAAATTCATTCATATATCATTCATTCAATAAATATCTACTGATCAGCTAATATACTAAGTTCTGGGCATTCAAAGATGGATAAAAATCAGTGATAAGATGGAACTCCATATTAATTGGAGGGGATTGACAAGTAAACAAGTAATCACAATGTTTGATAAATCCTAGGAAATTATTAACAGAACACGGCAAGAGCTAATCTTGGAATGCAAGAAGGTTTCCCAAAGACATGTCAGCCAAGCTGAGTGCCGAAGTTATGGGGTAGTTTTATCAGGCAAAGAAAGAAAATCAAAATATCTAATCAAAATACAATTCCATCAGACAATCATATCCATGAAAAAGAGCCAGAGAAGAACTAATACTTGTGGGCTGCCAGGTACTGTGAAGGTGCTTTACATGCATTAAAAAATAGACCTTCACAAGAATCAGGCAAGGAAGGTATTATTAAGCCCACATTATTGAAAAGAAAACAGGATCAGGGAGGTTAAGCAAGTTGCCCTCAGTCCTGGGACCAGAAAATGGCATAGCCCGAATTCAGACCCAGCTTTCCTTCCGTTACTTCAAGGATCACTAAATTGAAAAATTGACTTCAAATAGAACTTTGTCTCATTCTAAGAATGTGCCTAAATGGCAGAAGGAGGGGCTGAACTTGAGGTGGTGACTACCATGTCCCTGATGAGTAGATGTTTGGCACTATTCATATGCTTTATAGCATGTGGCTTTTTGCCATTTAGGGTCACTCAACATTTTCATCCAAACTGACCCACACAGTCTCCAACCAACAGAGGTGAGCACAGATGGCTGCTTCCACTTCTTGGAAAGGTGACTGCCTAGAACCCTTGTACATGATCTGGCCTGAGATTGTAGATTTATGAAAGAAAGCATACTCAGTAATGTAAGTTAAATTTCACTTTTGGAGGGGAAAAACTAAATGAAAAGGCTTCTTGTTTGTTTGATTTCATAAGAAAATATGTTTCCTAGTAGCCTTCACAATTTGGGCCATATGGTCCCAACGCTGCTTCTCAGGAGCACTCTTTATCTCCTTTAACTCAGTAAATACTGCAGAGTTTTGAGGAGTTATTTCATCAAGATGCATACCTAGAATGGGAGTTTCCTTATATGAAAGGTAGCTTACGTTCCTTATGCAAAATATCTATGATTTTCAGGAAGCCACAGGATCCAGTGAGATCCTCAAAGGATCACCCAGGAAACGAGTGTAGACAGAAAAGGAACAAGGAGTGGGCACTGGGTTCCAGGGCCCTCCAGTCTAGAGGCTGGAAAGAGAAAATAGAGCCAGCAAAGAACACGAAATACACTGTTTGCATGATAGAAAGAAACCCAGAATTTAATGACATCATGGAAGTCCAAAAAAGAAAGTGTTTTGGGGCCAGCAGGTGGTGTGCTGGTTAAAGACGCTGGACTCCCTGCAGTGGCTGACTGCAGTTCAAGTCTCGAACCTGGCAGCTTACTTCCCTCACTTTCTCTCTCTCTGGTCAAATTAAAACAAATAATAATAATAAATAAAATAAAATAAAACAATGTTTAAAAAAAGAGAATGTTTTAGTAAAGACATTGAAGTGATCCACTGTGTCAAAAGCTGCTAAAAGGCTGAATATCAATTTAATATTAAAGAAAACTCTTATAGAAATGTTAACATAAAAATTAGCCCTGTAGAAATGCTTCTCAATTTATGATGGTGTTATGTACTGTCAAAACCATCACAAGCTAGAAATATTTTAAGGTGAAAATATACTTAATATAGCTAATCTAACAAACATCATAGCTTAGTCCAGCCTATCTTTAATGTACTCAGAACATTTACATTAGCCTACAGTAGGGAAAAATCATCTAACACAAAGTCTATTTTATAATAACATGTTAACTATCTCATAATTTATTGAATACTGTACTAAAAGTGAAAAAATTGGATGGCTGTATGAGTTTTATTTATTTATTAACTTTTTTTAGAGAAGTTTTTGCTATAGGGTATGTGCACTTGCCAGAAAGAGAGAGCCAGAGAGAAAGAAAGTGAGAAATCACCCCCCGGGGGGGATGGACACACCACAATCCCTTCTTCTCCAGTATCCTTTTGAGATTTTTGGCATGCATGCACATGTGCCTGGTGTGAGTTTAAGTTGCCAGGTCCAGGACTCAAACCACAGTCAACTACATTGGAGTCCAACGACATAACCATTATGCCATCTGTTGGTCCCTAGTTTTTAAAGTATGATTTCTTTTGAATATGTACCATTGTAAAGTTGAAAAATAGTAAGTCAGAGATTGAAGTTATTTTTGTGGAAAAAATGGGTTCATACAACAGTATTTTCTACAAACATTAAGTGAACAGTAAAACCCAATATTATATCTGAAAATAGTATGACAATGAGCTAGAAATAGTTTTTAAAGTCAACCACAGTCTTATTACACGAATAAAACAATTAGCCTAAATGCCCATTGGTAACCTTCTGGAAAGGCTATCTCCAGAGCAGGGACAGTTTCTTCCAAGTCTGAAGAACTTTAGCAACTTCTATGTTGAGCTGTGCTAAGGCAAAATATAAAAAGAATAGGATCCCACTTTCACAAAGGATTACATTCTTCTGTCAAATTACTCTAACACTGGCAAGTTTAAATCCTTATAACTCAAGTTTTATGTCCAACTAAATGCCTTTATGTTCCATTTTGAACTTGGGTACTACTTGCATTTCTTGGCCTCTCTGAAAGCATTTGGCAGAATCCGTGACTTGTGTGTAGACTATTTCCTCAAATGATCTGGATCATTTTAGAGCAATGCTGGCTTTTCCTTATCACACAACATGCCCTTATAACCAGTATATATTCAAAGAACATCTTCCAGAAATGTTAAATCAACAGTAGTCAAAGCAAAACATCATTATAATGGAAAAGGAAAATGCAACAAAATAATAGAAGTCCAGTCCAAAGGAAACTATTAAATGATCTATCACTCAGACAGCCTCCAGTCCTATCAATAGGCCTTAGGTCTTCCACACAGGTGACTAGATAATTTAATCGGAATCTAAACAATGCGTCCTAGGCACATAGGAGACACTCATTAAATTGTTGAGTTAGAATGAAGATATGCTTTTAGAATTTTTACATAAGCTCTACCATTTGGAATTTGATTTGAAATTGTTCCTCAGAAAAGACTAGTCCAGTACCAAAAAAGGAGAAAATAGTCTCAATGCATACTGATTTGAACTGATCAGTTTTTTTAATCTGTTAGCAACCTAAACTTATGCAATTGATTTTCTTGTCATTGCTTTCCCTATACTATCAAAAATGATGCTTTCTTTACTATGTCAAACTCATCATAAAATAGCTAAAAATCTAAAATTCAATTTGCCACATTACTGCTAATTTGAATAATGGCTGAATAAAACACAGGAAACGCTGAAGCAGCATTGATTTCTAAAACATTTTGCACTTTCCTCCTCCATCCCTGTAAAGTAAAGCTCGGATGCTACGCGCAATTACACAAGAAAATCAAGAAAGCCATTACATTCAGCATTTTGTCATGATCATTGTTACCATGGCAAAAAGTGGGCTTAGTTTAGCACAGCTGCTACAGGCGAGGTCCACTAGCCTTTTGTAAAGCTGAGTAACAATATAATGCCAAATTCTGTAGCCTGTCACTGTTTTATTATTATTTTTTCTTCCTTTCCCCAGGACAAGGTTGTTGTGCACAGATGCTAATGTCTTACTCCTCAACCATCTGAGCCAATGTCATCTTTTTATTATCTTCTTTTGTTGGTCAGCGATGGAGGAACACAGTTAATCCAAGAAGGTTACCACTTGACCCACCTTCTGTTGTAAGGGGAACAACAATGTGTGGTGTGAAAACTCTGGACTGTCAAAACAGAAAAAGCCAAAGTTTCAAGAGTTGCCTTGTAAATAGCATTGGTCTGAGAATAGCACGGGCTTCTTCAGAGTGAGCGAGAGAGAAATGCAGGCCCAGGACAAGAACTGCATGGCACGCATACTGCTTTTCTTTCTTTGAATATAAGTTTAGTGATCTGTAAAATGGGGACAAAAGAAACTTCCTTGCGAGAATTAACTGGGATACTTTGAGGGCCCAGACATGTAGCCCTGCCCCTTTCTTAACTGGTGCAATTTCCATGCCTTTATTAACCCTGACAGAAGTTGGTAGGTAAACTGTTTTCTATGTCTGGATGGTAAATCACTGTCATCTTTCATATCATTCAAATACTCCCCTCTGAGAGCTAAGGATAAATTATATTTTAAGGTCTGACAGTATAAATTTCACATCAAAACAATAAAAATCCAGAGTCGATATCATAACACACCACACCCTATTATCAATATTTTAAGTGACACCAATAATATCACAATAAAATGGAAAATATAAATGCATACTAATTCTGACCTTATGCAGAGGGGTTTTCTTTAGTTTTAAAAAATAAAGCCACATTATAGAAGTAGAGAAGTGTAAATTATCTGGAATGAATACATTAATCAAGGCTCTATATTTACTAGAAACAAAGGCTACTAGCATTTTTACCAGCTAAACAAAATATTTTTTCTAATGAGATTTCAGCTGGGTATCGTTTATCTTAAGAGAAAAATAATGGGACCTTACCTATTCCAGTAGCTCCAGAACTGGTCATGCAGGTAGGCGTGGTGGCTACATTCATCACCAAATGAGGCTTTGCTTTCAATCCAGTGAATTATGTGCCCTTCCACAGCTAAGGGACAAAGCATTACTAATATACGGTAAAGGGAAGGGAAGATTGAAAATTCTGAACTCTGCACAGGCCTCTCTATGCTTCACATTAATGAGCAGAGGCTTAGCCCTTACCATCATCTACGGGTGTAATTATCAAACGGCACATTGTATATGCTCATTATAAGAAACATGTATGCTACCATCAAATTCCTTTTATTTTCATCATATTCTGCAAAAGTCCCTCTCCTAGTTCTGACTCTGCCTGTATAATTTGATAAGTAACGTGTCAAGCAAACCGACGTGAGTTTGTCTCTTCAGTAGAATTGTGTTTAAAAAATTCAAAGCTCAGAAAAATGAGTTAAAACAGCAAGCACAATGTCTGCAGAAGACATGTTCATTTCTCAAATGTACAAGTTGTTAAGACATAGATTACTTCTGAACCTATTATTTGCTTCTATTTTAAAAGAATCTTTTCCAACTATTACACCTACTTAGATATTATACTATAAAGCTCACAAACTACCCTGCTAACGTTTGCTAACATCGACATATGAGCAAAAAATAAGGATGGAAAAAAACACATCCCTTTCCTCTATAAACAAATGCATAACAGAGTTGAAGGACTTACCAACTGGTACTTGTAAAATAAAGTCTGGCGTTTTGTCATATCCTTTTGCACGGAGCTGATCTTCATCTACAGAAAGAACAAATACTATTACTTATAACAGTATTCCATTAACAAGACAGCAATATAATTGCTTTTCTTTCTTAAATATGTGCAAAAATTACTAATGCAGTCATACATATCTTTCTTATGCATGCAACGCTGTGTCAGAATAAATGAACTTTCTTAACAAACCTGAAGCACAGATATAAAAATGCTTCTTTGTCCCTTCTGCATTTTTATGTCTTTATTATAAACATCATTAATTCAAGCTGTCATTTGCTACCTTTTTTGTAATTGAAAATACTCAAAATAAAGAAATATACTTACTGATTGAAAGAAAAGGCTTTCACCACCGTGAATATCACTAACGTTATCAGCCAATACTGAAAATTTACAGTAAAGCGTAAGCCCAGTGGACTTTTACAATTATGAAACAAATGCTTTCATTAAGGCATTTAAGAAAGTTTAGTTTCAATTAGTGAAACTGTTCTTACACAAGAGAAAAGGACAAGGACAATGAGATCACCACAAATAATTAATTATCCTGCTTAATTCCTTTGGTATGCTATTGTTTCTGGCATTTACCAGAGTTTTACAACTAACAATATGTGATTCTGAACGCAAACAGGCTTTCAGATTTTTTTCCCTAAGTTTGTTCAATTTCTTGATTCTCTCTAATTGCCAATGATCGATTCAGAAACAAAGGAGGTAAGAAGAAAGAAAGCTTGACAAAGTTGGAAAAAACTAGCAAGGTGCTTGGCTTTAAAAAAAAATCCTCCAATATTTTCTAAATGCTGTCCTTGACTTCTAATGGCATTACAATGTGATTTCTGAAATGGGGAGTTCTCCATTAGATTTTGGAGTGACCTGGTCATTCAATTCCAGACATGGCTTTCTGTCTTCACCCAACCTCAACTAATGGCCCAACCAAGTAACAAGGAAGGCTGTGTGGTCTCTTAACACCTACTGGGCTGTTGACATTGTCATGCATCCCATTCGCCTTCCTGCATCACCTTTGATTAAAATTAATGGCCCATTCCCAGTCTTGGGTAGCTTATTTCCAATCCATTTGTCAGCCCAAGACAGTGGTTTCATGGCCAATGTTCAGAAACTCTGTTTTAGAACACTCTTGTGTACATCTTGAAAGGTCAGCATTTTAAAAGTAAATAACCTTTTAATGACAAGACACATATTTAAAGTAGGTACTTCAGTAAATTTTTGTTAAAAATCACTGTCCTTTAACTATACCCAGATTTGAAAGATGGATGTCAGAATTCAGAACAAGCTCCCCTCCTCAAAATGCAAAAAAACTCAAGTTAATTGTTGAGATGACAAAATGCAAATTGAAGTAATGTTATTTTAAAAACAAGAGAATTTGGAAACTGGCCACAGACAAGTAAGGAAAACTCTCTATCCTCTCACTGTATTCGGACCATAACGAGAATGTTTAATGGAAAAAGGAATTTATTGAAACCGACTGCAGTGCTCTGAGCTGATGTTTCATGTAGCTGATGAACAGTTTTAAAAGCTGGGCTGACATTAAAAAAGATAGATTAATATTTTATTAAAACTATCCTAGCTTGATCAACCTTTACAGATGCTAAAATCTGTTTCAGAAAGAAAAATGATTATGTTTCTGACAGCAGCTCAAAACAAAATTTCAAAGGTCACCAAGCAATCCAAACACACACACACTAAAATCCCTTTAAAAGGCAGACACTGCACTCTTGTTCACTGCACCAGAATTACTAACACAACACCTACAATGGAAATTGCATGACTTACTTACTATGAAAATACAAAAACAAAAACAAAAACAAAAAACCAAAAAACCACCAAAACAAAAAACTGAAACACAAGTACCCAAATAAGGTCATAAAATCATCAAATGAAGCTAGGAACTCTTTCCATCTTTTCATGGAAAACTTCAAAGTACAACCGGCCATGTGCTCTCTTTCTCACCCAAATACACACACCTCTCTGTCTTCCTCCCTTTCAATCTTTCTCTTATTGAGGTTGATCCAGTAGTAAGTATATCCAAAGGAAAACATCTAGAAGTCTGTGCCACCACTAGAGATAGCAGAGTTCTACCTTTTTTAAATTTTTTTTAATTGTCAGAGGGCATATATGCACTCATCAGAGCCAAAGAGGCAGGGAAAGGGGAAGAAAGAAAGCCCTCCCCAAGGGGGCACAGCCACACTACAATCCCCTCTTCAATTTTTCTGTCTTGATGGGATTTGGGGGACACCCATATGCCTGGCAAGTTTTTCTATCCTCTGGGCCCAGAATTCAAACTGCACTGTCAGCCATACAGAATCCAGATCCCTTACCTATTAGGCCACAGGGCCAACCCTAGACTTCTATTTGTCATAGTAAAGAGGTTATTCCAAACATCTGAAATACTATATATTGAACATCTTCTTCTTTGATTTATTTACTAAATGCTCACAGCCTTACCTACCGTGTTTCAACCTTTACTTTGTTTCTTTGATTTTCCATTTTCTAAGAGTGGAGGGAACAGCATGGCAAAGTTCTGAGGAAATGACAGTGCAAATGCATGGCCCTGTCATGTGGTCTAAGCCCCAAGAAAATTTCTATCACCTATCACCCCACTGCAGGATCTTTAAGGTCATGCTCCGGGCCTGATTTCCTGGACTTTGCAATATGCTCTTTCTTGGCTCCCAGGCCCTGAGAGATTTTTTACCCTGAGATCATTATCCAAACCACTGGGTGTGGGTTTAGAATTTAGTTTCTAAGTCAGAGTTCCAACTCTGGCATTTTGAGGTTATGTACCCAGGTGATCAGCCCACACGATGTCCCTTGTGCTTCCTACTTTGGTTCACTTACTTACACTGCTGTGTCTGGGTTTATCTTTCACATACTGAGCCTGATGCTCTTGCTCTGAGGACAGAAAAGTTTCCTTTCAGAATTTTTTTAATATGCTATCCATTGCCCAACTGTCATCACCACCATATTTAATGCTCAAAAAAGATAAGCAAATAAAATGCAAGTACATTTTAAAGCATACCCACATCTTCCAGAAAGTCTATCTAGACTGTCAATAATTTTTTTCTTTCTTTCTTTCATCCTTCCTTCCTTCCTCCCTTCCTTCCTTCCAATCAGAGAGAGAACGTGAGAATGCACTCCCCATCTCTCATCACAATCTCTTCTGCTCTCTCTCTCTCCCTTTTGGAAAATTTTGGGCATGCACATATATCCTCCCAGAATGCTTCACAAGTTGATGGGTACAGGACTGAGCCATGCATTTGACCATGGGTGATCCAGCAGCCTCAACCACCATGCCACCACCACTGGCCCTCTTTCCTAATTTAATTCCTTGAGAATCAACAAGGCGCAGTGGCTTTATATGTTTATCTGAAGCTATATCAATGATAAAGGAAGAAATGGCATCCTATTTCTTAACACTAAGGGGAATTCCCTTACTTTTTTCTTTGGTCTCAAGTATTTTAAATAACATTTTAGTAAAATTCCCCCCACAAAACCCAATCTGTGCCTGGTGCTATTATTGGGCATCTTTTTGGTTACTTTCCTTATTTTTTTGTATGGCTAATGATCTGTTTGGATTTTTATCTTTTCTATAGTCAGTTTTGTGATTTATATTTTACTTGAAAATCATACATTTCATATAGATTGTTATAATAGTTTATACATATTGGAACTAAGTAGTTACTTACGAAACTGTATTTCCCAAGAGAAAAGTAAATGTTTAAGTAATCTGTTATTTTCTTCAAGCAAAACTGATCAAGATTAAGAAAAAAAAGTAAGAATAATATTAGCCTGAAAGGAAAAAAAAAGTAATGGCAATAACATAGAATACTTCCTTTAGTGTAACTTTCCAAATGGTTGAGCATTAATGTGAAATCAAACTCTAAATCCAGCATAGCTATCACATTCTGTGAATACAGCAGATAAAAAGCAAGGTACTTCTGGTTTAAGGTATGTATGTTAACACCCAATATACTTCATAACTGTTAAATTCATTAATGCCACAGTTCATGCTCATTATCAAAATTAAAATAAAAATTATTATCACTTAGAAGCAGACTTGTTAGCCTCCAGATCTGCCAAATACAGATTTTAATGTAAGGGTTTCCCTGTGAAACACATTTCTTTTTTTTTTTTTTTTTATTCATTTTCTACATTAATTCACTATACACCATCACAACACACAAATGAATTTTCCATCCAAAATACACTGTGCATTGGCTCAATCAAGCACATCAACATACATGTTCTCAGCAAATAATTTTCCAATTCTTATGTCCTGCATACCTTGCCTTTTGTTTTGCCATCCTTGATTCCCCATCCCCACCCTCTGCTATGTCCCATCCTCTTCCCCCATTGTCCCTGGCATCCATGGTTGCCCTCCATGCCTCCCCCCCATTCAATTGTTCTGCCAATGAACTTAATTAGTGTAAATATATCCAATAGCTAGCACAGCTGACACATACCTATACATGAACCCAAGTCTGACTTTAGGCATAAACCCCAGTGAGTAGAATGAACATACTATAAAGTAGTACCCAGCTGTGCCCACACAGCTCACTGCAGTCGTCAAATATGCATTTTTTTTTATAAACTGCATAGTGGCTTAATCAAGCATGTTATCATCAATAATATTCCATTTCTACTTTCCTACATATGTATACATATATATGTTTTTTATCCTATGTTTGACCCTCTGCCCTTTCTGAAACACATTTCTGAGTTAGACATTATTGAGTAAGAGATTACTAGCCCAACATCCCAATTTATCTATGATAAAGTTTCCTAGAGAAATTAAAAGATCAACCAAGCTCTAGATCTCTCAAGTAGTTAGAGATGCAGAACAGGAACCTATGTCAATAAATTCCAGTTTGTCCCAATAGACTGAATACAGCTCCTAGCTGTGCAAATATTTAAAGTCCATCATGTGTAATATTAATGAAGTGGGAGTAAAAGTCTTACTTTCTTCTTGGAAGATCTTAAACAGGAGAGGTGAATGGCCATCTGTTAGATACTATTTA